CACTGTGACCAGTAAAATTTAAACTATCTTAACAGGAAGTCAACTTCAAGTGCTTCAATATTTCGCATTGTTTGTCAATTTTTATGTTTAGACAGATATTCCATATGCGAGCAATGCAATTCTTGCTGAATGTTTATGTAGTCTTGTGTCCGTTGGAAATTTGTGGTGAATTTTAGACTTCTTGCTCAATATTCAGTATGGATTAGTTTAAGGAGGAATTAGTTTTCTGCAAGGTTGTATAACTTTGTGTTACAACTTATCTGGCCTCGAGCTGAACTACAGTGAAGTAAATGGTTACAAGGAATTAGTTTTCAGCGATTGCCTTGTAACTTGGTGTTAGTTAACTTCGATTGCCTCTGACTTTGTTGATAGTAAACTCTTAAACAAGCGGAAATAATGGGGCTCATGTGTTTTTACCTTGGTGAAATGTTTTAAAATCCATTTTTTTCTACGGAATCATGTATTTACTGTTTAAACGTAATTCCACTGATTTTTATGATCTTATATTGATTATTTTAGTGTGTGCGAGTAAATCATTGTGTCGGTGGTTTTGTTTGTCTGTAGTTCACATATTGCTGAGGTCACGTGAATGATAACATATTTTATGCAGTTGGGAAAAATGTCATTCTATTAGTTTTTGTATAGATATTCTGATTAATGGTTCAGAAGTGGTTCTGAACTTCTAAGTAAAGGTGTAATATAATCAATTTGAGCTGAGTTTTCTCTCATTCTGTAGATACTGGCTCTCAGTTGGTGCGCAGCCTTCGGAGCCTGTCCAGCGCCTACTTTTCAGATCAGGTTTGCTACCTCCACCTCCAATGCTGGCAATGGGACACAAAGGCGGGCCACGGGACACCCGTCCAATTGATCCTATGACAGGACGAATTTTAACCCCAGAAAAGTTAATCAATTGTATGCAATCAGTGGAACCCGAAGGTGATGAAGCCAATGATGAAGAAAATGCAACATCTTGAAACTTTCTCCAACTTCAGCTTCTGAGATCTGAATGATGCATTGGACAGAGCATTCTTTTTGTCTCCATGATGTTATTATTGCCTTACATGTAATGGGTAAAGAGAAGACACCTTACGATCTTTCTGTGTAAGTTACAAGTTTTTGATGCAATGACTCTTTCTTAGTTTCCTTATCTTTTTGGGATGCACACATGAAATTTGTACCAAATGGCTTTTCTTTTGAACCTACCTACCGGCTCCTTCTTGGGTTCGATTTTGGTTAGTGGTTGATTGCAGGATAGTTCAATTCTGGTTAGTGGGCGATTTCCTTTCAATTGTGCTGCTCTCTCAATTCAATTCCTTTCATTTGTGCTGCTCTCTCTTATTATGTTCATGTCTTTAGAGTAGTGTCGTTGTTTGGAAGTATTCAATATGAAATGTGGTAAGTAACACTGCATAAATTTTCCGATGAAAAGGTCGGATTTGAAGTGATAACGTTGCAAGTTTGAGTCCAAAATAAGGTCATTGCGTGGCTTTGTTGTATTGGGTTTCAACCCTTGCTAATATTTATTCTCTGAAAAGAAATCAGGAGGTATTCTTCCTGATGTCACTTAACAGCAAAACTGTTGGGCACGCTTGGGTTGATCTTCAAGTGCATTAGTTTTACCTATTCCATGCTGATTAGGTCATATTGACCTTGAACAACCTAGGTGTGAACGTATTTCTTACAAGTATTTTATTTTATTAGGTAAATAATTTCTCTATATACTTAAAAAAAAAAAACACTCCACCCCTTTAAAGACTAGGACTATATTTAGTAATTGAAAGGTTATCCCAAGTCTGTTTTTAGGAAAAACCTATTGTACCGAAAAATTGTTCTTCTATACCATACCTGCAAAAGGTCACCGACTTAACCAAAATAGACTAGCTGATTTAAAAAAGTTGGGATCGATCTTAAAATGTTGGATGGGCTTGATTTTCAAGTCTCTCTCCAGCAACTCAGGTTGATTGTATCACATTGACCTCAAAGCTACGTGTGAACATATCTCTCCTCTGTTTTTCTTGGTCTTTGGTCCATGCCATAAGTTACCATTGTTTAGATATTTGTTCTTATATGATGTCATTTTCAGTTCAAATTGTTTAGACAATTTCTTCCTCTTTCTTTTTCATCAATCTAAAGTCTCTTTCAAATATTTTTTGGGTGTTTCCGAACTTGCTTCATCTGAAATAAGAAACTAGTGGCATAATAATACATTTTTGAATTAAAACTTCCGAATAATTTGCTAACCGATGAGTCATCTGATATAGTTCTAATATACCGCTATTATAGTTGCACTCAAGTTAATGTTATTAAATTGTGTTAAATGTCACATTATTAGATTAATAATTTAGATTAAATTTTAAAGTCATAATAGCATTAATGTTGGTGGCATAGTCTTATAACCATTTATGGGCATCTTATTGGTTTCTATTTTCTGTTTCCCTGTATAAAATGCATTGTTGTTGCTGACAGAACGCAACGCAATTGTAAAATTATTTTATTGTGATTTGGCCGTCACATGTTCGAATTGAATTGCCAAAGAAAAAAGGAAAAGGAAAAACTTACACAAAAAAAAAAAAAAGGAAAAAGGAAAAATTATCAATAAGTATAACTTTTCTCTATAATAATAGTCTTTTTTTATTCATAAATACCCCAACTTCTTATGTTTTAATTTATTCCTAGCTCAAGCAATTTTCCAACGAGAAAAAAGTGAGTACTAAAAAAACCATTTATGTTAAATTCAATCTCAATTTATGCAATAACCCCAAACCACAAAGACAATGTCTCAAAAGAGAGTCTGTAATACATAAATAATACATTAGTCGAAATCAAAATTAAGAGGTCTGGGTAGAAACAAACCTGTCACCATAATTGAGCAGCAATTAAATAAATGGCGATTAAAAAGCATCCATTGTGTCGTTAGCATAGTTGAGCAAGAAAACAAATGCCACTTGAAAAGTCTTCATTGTGTCGTCGGTGTTGTGATATCAGTAAAGAATAGAAGAATTTTGATAGCTAAAAGTAAAGAATAAAATATAAATATAATGAAATTAGAACTTCATCGATATAAAAAGTGAAATAATTGAAGCAGAAATCATTAGCATCCACTCTTTTGGATGTTTTAGAGCTCACAATAGATTCCCTTTTCCAGATTAGGTGGATGAAATGGAGGATATTCATGGTTTTGGACTAGCCAGGATTAGTCTCCTATCAGGACTCAGTCAAAATCGTCGTCTCCAAAGCCTTTGAATTCTATGACTAACAAAAGAAGACTATTCACCGAAAACCTTAATCTAGAATATGGTAATAGGGCTAATGACACTTTATACACTTAATAATTTTAAAAAAGTTTCCTTTGTCCTCGTAAAGAATAAAAATCTCATTTCCCACCCTAAATTTTTCAAAAGACAGTGTGATTTTTTCGCATTCAAATATATCATGATATCATTTTATCTCATGAAATTTTTAGTAATTTAATTTTGCCTCCAAAAAAAATGAATGATGCCACATTACAAATTTTTGATAATTTAATTTTATCTCTGAAAAATTAATGATGCCACTACACAGTGCTAGGGGTGTTAAAAAATATGACACGACAAGAAGTTAGAGGGTGAGCTAACTATTTCGTAAATGAGTAAACCCGATACGACAAGATTAATGAACGAATCGAACAAGAGTGGAGTGCTTCTTGATACAAATCCGTTAAAATTCGACACAAACCTGTTTTAGTCGATACGATTGACAGGTCTACGTAGCACGTGCAAAATCGCCGATAGAACATTTGATGGTGTTGAATACCTAAAGCGCACAATTATCATTTAAAGGAATCAAAGTGAGTAACGTGAGACTCTTAATTTTTGAGAGCGTAAAATAAAAATTATCATATCTTTGAAAGTACAAAGTGTTATTCCACCATATTATTTGCATAATTTGAGGAGATGACGTGGTGAAATGTTAAGATGCATTAGGATCTAATCCATAGATTAATGTGGTGCCTGACGCTATGAAAGCTGAGTTGATTGGTGATGAGTCTTCAATCAAACAAACAAAAAGGAGTGGTTTTGTTTTTTGAGGTTGGACCATCTTTGAATGCATCAATCAAAAATTTGCTGGATAATCCCCCCATTGGGTGAGCTCTCATGGCTTACGATTATGTTTTTTCAGTCAAAATAGGCAGACAGACCTAATCATGAAATGGCAATATGTGGTGGATAAGAATACTTCACCCCAATTGGTAGAATGACAAGAGACTTCTAACTTACTCGAAACAAATAGGTGATTGTATGTTTGCAGAGTTTATGTTGTGGAATTGTCTGTAGTATCAAAAATAAAAAAATTAGTACCATATTAATATTTATTATATTTGTTAATATTTTTATTATTGTTATGAGGATAGTATTTTTATCACTATTGTGATACCGAAGAAAAGTAATAATAATTATCATAATACTAGTAAAAATACCTATAAATCACCCACTTAAGTGGTAAATTTTTAATTGTAAAATGACTCACAAAAATTATAAAAATACTTATTAAAATAATGGTTAATTGTTTTTTTTTTTTTATCTCCGTGTGATTTCGGCTAGAAACACATTATCTATCTGACATTTAAAATTATGAACACTACCCTCTTATAGTTATGTATCAAAGTGAAATAGTTACTTTTATCATTCTAGTTATCAGAGAGTATACTCCACGCACTCAAAATATGTTATGAGCTTTGTTTCCACAATTTCTCCCTAAAAAAATATTGTCAGAGTGCTTAAAATATCCTTTACAATATATGATATAATACTCAAATAAGAACATCAACCCCAAATAAAAAAACAATGTAAAAAAAATAAGTGATTTTTGGGCCGAAACAAAACCTCACTTGAGGGAAAAAGGGATTCATCATATTTAATTGAAATATATTGGTTTGTTGTCATGTTCTATTAATTTTAGGGTCAAGAGTAAATCAAACGAAAAATATGATTTTATAAAATTCAAAATTGCAGCATAAATACATTGCTTTTGGATAGATTACTACCAAATTAAATTGTGCAGACTGGTCAGAGGTATCAACATGTTTAAGCTTCAAGAATATGTTGACTTCCACATAATTATTGGTCGACAAATGGTGAGCCTCATCGGCTATAATGATGCGTAGCCACAACTTAAATTCTTCGCCCACATGCGTAACACGTGTCGTGTAGCGGGTTGGTACAATTGTCACTGTGCCAAGTCATCCACAACCCTCCTCACACCTTCTTCGAAGGTAGCCTCGTCCCATTCACCTCCCTGTGGAAAAGAAGTTAATTAGACAAGAATTAAATACTACCATTGGCCAACGTCCGTTATTGAGTGAACGTTATCTTTTTTTTTTTTTTTCCAAATATTAGAGTGTTTGAGTTAGTTTGTGCATACTCTAACTAATTTCTTACTTAGTTTTTATCCACACAAGAAATAAAATATTTATAAGAGATAAATTTCTCATGATCTAATCCAAAATAATTACTAAGATTTGAATTTACGACTCATTTTTAATACTACTTAACTACTATTGGAGTTTGAGTGAACATGATCATCATTATAAGAATCATCAATAAAAAAAAAAGCTTTAGAAATCTACATTGATTTCTAGGCTATCCATGAAGAAAGTGGTATTAAAATGAACATAAATGTAGGTAACGAGGCAGCAGTAAAGTCATTCATGTGTAATGAGAATTATGAGTTTAACAATCTTTGTGGTGGAATTTGTATATACTACCCTGCAAATATGATTGTTATTTGTAATACACAAAACTCGCGTCTAAAGTTGGATCAAGTAGAAAGAGTCATTGGTAGACAATCATACTCATATTATGAAGGGATAAATTTTTAAATTCAAACCCGAAACGTATAACATACCATAAATTACAATTTTTTTGCTGTACTAGATATATTGGGTTCAATTGGATTATAGTTAATAATAGACATACCTCAATTTTCATTCTCAATGCCACGAGATTCACTGGACTTGATTCTACCATCAGGGTATTAGCTTCTATGGACATCAAGTGAACAATGCCAACCTGTTTCAAGAACTCCAGTATGCTAATCACTGAATCCAACAAGCTGCATTCTATTCTCGCAATCACCTGCAAATCCACGATTCGTGTTTCAGACGTGGATTCTGCTACCTGTGCAATGTGGACATGTACCCTTCTTCCATCTAATGATCCATTCAGTTCTTGATCATCAGTTGCTTCCTTCCATGGCAGGCGTGCCTCCAATATTTGTTTTTTCCTACTAAGTTCTGCAACTTGAGCCTTCAAAGAACTCAAATACTCCGTTGTGCTAGTAAGCACCGATCCTTTGTCCTTCTGCATAAACAATCCAGTTTGGGATTAATGTATTACAATGTATATTAATATAGTTAAGAGAGATAATAGAAGATAGATATCATACCTTACATCCTGGAGGAAGTAGTGATCTTAGTGCTTGAAAGCTTTCATTGAGTTTCTCTCTCCTTCTTCTTTCGGATATCATATGGTGCAACTGCGTGTTCGTGGGTCGGCTTCCTTGTTCCTGTTCTTGTCTTCCGAATAAACTTAAGTTTCTGAGTAACGTGATTGATCTTTTGAGCATATTCTGTCTTCGGATTGTCGTTCTTTTCGGGATTGTGGGGGCTAGAGCTGATCTATAACTCATGAATGCAGTGCCCTTCTGGTTTAATTGGCGAGTGGGAGGAAAATTTTGATGGGCCTGATGAGATGACGAGGAGGAGGAGGAAGAAGAAGAAGAAGAAGAAGAAGATAAAACGGCGAGTATGGCTTGAGTCATTGCAGCATCTTCACTATCTATTGAAGGGAATTGACTGTTCCGTATTTGGCTTAAGGCTTGAATGGCTTGCTGGAGAGGGCAGCCATTGCTTGATAATGGTCTCAATGCTTGCTCAATAGGGGCTTCTATGGGCGGTTCCGGAATGTAGGAAGTGCTTGGAATGTTGAATAGGTGAGGCGAGTACTCCGGGCTATCCATTGACAGTGATCTCAAGGATGACGAAGGCGAAGAAAGCCAGTTTTGATCGGCTTGCTGGGGCAGCTCTTTGGGGATTGTTTGTGGAGAGAAATGTTCAGCAAAAATTTTTCTCATCTCCATTTCCAAGTTGCCCTGCGAGACCCACGGAGAGAGACTTGTATTTAACCCAATATATGTAGTTATAATAGGTTGTGTTAGGTTTAGTTGATTATATACATCAATTAAAAAAAGGGCTGTATTAATTATTATGGAGTCCAAGCAGGGTCCTATGTAGGTAGAGACACTATTTTTGTGGTTCAAACCGATGATGTTAAGATATTATGGAGCAACATTACCATTATGTCAACACCCACCTTTAGGTGAATTTATAGTAGCTATAAGCAGCAAAATGGCCATAAAAAAGGTGAGGATCGACGGAGTCCTTACTCGAGTGTTATTGGACATTCCTAGCTCAATCTCTCCAGTATTGCACCCCATAAATATTGCAGTCTGGAATAAATAATAAACAAACAAAGAAAGGATTATTGACCATTAAATTAAGCTCTAAATTAGTAATTTTTTTTATTTTTTAGGGGAAGGGGGATGGGGATTACATTAGTAATTGTCTCCAGAAGAAACAGCCACAAACAAACTTCTTGTTCAACAAACCTTAATCCTAGCTTCCTGTGGTGAACATAAAAAAACATCAAGTTAGCTACTATCTTTACACACATTACAGAAAGCAAAAACTTCCATTATTGTTTCGAAATGGTTAATTACCTGGTAAAATTGCAACTGAGCCTTGGTAGATGCCAGACTTTGAAGGTATGACTCCTTCAGCTCAATGTAAGGAAGACTGTTGACAAAACAGTGCCCTGGAACATGGCTGAAACAGAAGAAACAATCATACATATACACACAGAGATATATATAGAGGCAGAAAGCATTTGATTTGATACCCATAGCGGCACGGTCATATATTATACCCATTATGATCAGCAATGTTGAAAACCGATCGTCTATAACCATCAAAGAGCCGTCGAGCAAGACTTCCAGATGATGAGCTAGGCTGCTGGTTATTTTCCTCATGGTAGAAGCCGTCCATGAAGTATAAAAAGCTGTAAAGGTTTTTAACATCAGTTCTATTTATGATATAGGAATGAGTGAATACACACACACACACACACACACACACACATATATGTAGAGAGAGAGATAGAGTGATTTCATACTTAGATGGTTGGGGCAAGTAAGACCAGAGGCAAATGTAGGTGCAACCAAAGGACTGCATTATGTGTTGGAGAAAGGCAGCGCGGTCGCTTGCATTGAGAAGGAAAATGGAGGCCATGATGTGAGTTGATCAGCACAGCTGCTAAGTTTTCTGCGTGAGATTTCGGTGCCCTTTGGATCTTTCTCTTACTCTCTTTTTGTGCACATAACACCGATGGTTTCTGCCTTTTCTTTCTAGAAGTAACTAGACGAGGACCCCTCTTAGAGAGACAGAGCCAGAGGGGTGGGAATGGGAACTTTCAAACTATAAAAGAAAATAGAATTGAAAAGTAGCTGGGGTTTGAGAGAGAGAGAATGGGGCTTCAGACTATATTTAAATGTGTTGAATCTGGAAGAGTTACACTTGAAAGAAAGAACATAGAATTGAAAAGTAGTGAGGAGAGAGAGAGAGAGCAACCAGCCAGCCAGCCAGCCAGGCCAGTGATTAGGAAAGTAATGGTCAAAGTCCACTCTCGTGAATGGAGTCAAGGGAGGAAGGCAAAGTGTCCTTTTCCTAAATTTTCGTTTAATTTACTTCTTGTTGCCTTGTTATTTTATCTAACCATTTAGTTTGTACATTTAAACTGCTTCTTTCACACATGTGAACACAGATTTTGATTTAAACTTCCTCATTTCTAAACTCTAATGCTACATTTTGCTGTCTTCTCACTAAATAAAGAACTGTTTGGAAACTGGAAATTATTTTCGATTTTACATCAAAAATAACTAAAAAAATAAAGATATGATTACAACTTAGTCCGATAATCTTCACATTTAGGATCAATCCAACTTCTTTAAGCAGTATCTTAATTTTTTGAGGTTGTAATTTAACCTAAATTGAATTGTAATTAACTTTTATTTTAATTGATATCAATTTTTGATGAACTTGGTACTGTAGTCATTTTGAGAGACTCTAATCCCTTCCAAGTTGAGCTTGTCCTTCTTTTTCTCCCCATAAAAAAAACTTAATCCTTCCTTGTAGAACAAATGCTTTCTTTTATTAAAAAAAATTAATAATCAAAGGTATTCGGACTAACTTACACGCACCTCAATTAATTCCTTTTTCGGTCTGGTCGAAAATACCTCATTCATGCCGAGATTAAGATATTCACGAGTGATAAATTCTTCATGACCTAACCCTAAGAAATTGTCAAGATTCGAACTCATTTTGAACGGTCTCCCATTCAGTGCTATGTATCCTTGGACCCACCAAATACTGAACAAAATATTTTTAATTAGATATAAAATTGCCAACTTATTTGGTAAAAATAAGCATAGGCGATGAATGTATATTCCTGACCGACCTTGTTTACTTTCATTTTTTTAATTCAAATGGCGGAAAATTGTGTGTTGAATTTTTGTCTTCCATTTAGTGGCTTGCTTAAGCTGTTCTTGTCAAATTAAAATGATCTCCCATTGATTGCCAAAATCTACAATGCAAAAAGGGAAAGATAGTCTGCTTAAGAATTTTCAATTTTGAAGCATCGTTCTCTAATAAATATGATGTTCTTGCCAAATGAATTCCCAATTTTATTTGCATGATGTGCATTGTGAAGTTAGGTTTGACTGTTGGACATTTGATACTCTAGGCTTACAGTTACACCGATTGCATTGACATATAATAGTGGTGTTAAATAACAATACCCGAATATTTAGTGCCCTTGTTTAAATATATATATAGTATAGGGGGCTTCACCAATTAGGAGAATCTTACATGGAAATAAAAATGTGGTTGTATTAACAGGGTTGCAATATGATTTTTTTATTAACATTTTTTACTCATTTTGTCAGGTAATTTTTGATTGAATAAGTAACAAACCAACAGAAGGGTTATATTTACAATAATTTTAATACATTAAAGGTGTAAATAGAAAATCTTAAATTTTTGTGGGGGTACAAAGTGCGATTTTCCAAAAAAAAAGGTTAAAAATCTTCTCTTTATTTTCATATCTTGTCTGGTTCATAGTGAGGGTAGAGCTCAGCGAATACGAAGGTCAGAAATACTGAATAAAAAGTAATCTCTGCTCTCGTCGCCTTAAGCTTTCTCTTTATATAATTATAGAAAATGGAAAATCTTTCTCACAATTATCATTCAGTGCTCTCAACTTCTGTTATTACACAAAAGCCTCCTTCATCAATTTTTTTTCTTTACCAAGTACGGATCATTCCTTCAACCAATCGCTGAAGAAGCTCCAAAAGAGTCCTGAAGATGGCACAAAACCCAGGTAAGAAAATCCCTTACTCCTTGTCTGTGTCTGTTGTACAATGTACAGTTAAGTGCTATGGTGTTTCTATTGACCTTTCATTCATATTGATTACAATTTTCTGCATATGGATCCCCAAAAAAAAAAATGAAAAAATGAGGTGGCCGATACCCATTAACGAATAGTTAAAGGTAAATGACTCCAGGTGAACAATATGCATAATTTATTTCTGATTGTTATATAGGTAAGCTTGAAGGGGAAAAAGGAATCACTTCGGATTTTATTGTAGTTGTTCAAACTAAACTTTTGGGTGGCACTATTCCTACCTACAATGAGGACTTTTACAGATAGACAAAAACACAGAGGACAGAATGAAATTCAGATCTAAATTTCCATTGTAAATGCTTGACAGTTTACAAGAATATGCCTTCAGTATTTATAAGAAGACGTTGAGAATACAACTGGAATCTAATAGATTGCCAACATGGCAAATATCAGTTGATTAGTTAGAACTAGTTAGTTAATCAGTTAGATTAGTTTCTGGTTATCATTCCCCCTCAAACTAATGGGTGGTGACCCAACCATAAGTTCGTCTCGCAGCTGAAGACATCTAGAAGAAGCAAGGCCCTTGGTAAAAACATCAGCAAGCTGATCAGTAAAAGAAATATAATGAACCAGAAGATTTTTGCTGTGAACTTTCTCTCGGATAAAATGAAAGTCAATATCTATATGCTTTGTACGACCATGAAACACTAGATTTGAAGCTAAGGCCAAAGTAGAAACATTATAACACCAAAGAGTGGGGGCTTGAGGCAGCAGTACTTGAAGATCCTTGAGCAATAGCTGAAGCCAAGTAAGTTCAGCCGTGGTATGTGCTAAAACCCTGAATTCTGCTTCTGTGGAGGACCTAGATACAGTAGTTTGCTTCTTAGTGCCCCAGTGAATGAGATTATTACCCAAAGCAAGAATAAACCCAGTAGTAGATCTCCTATCATCAGGATCCCCTACCCAGTTTGCATCGCTGAAGGCAGAAAGATTCAAACCACCTTTTTGATAAGATATACCAAATGTAGAAGTACCTTTGAGGTATCTTAAGATTCTTTTCATAGCAGCAAAATGAATATCTGTGAGAGCTTGCATATGCTGACAAACTTGATTTACTGAAAAACTGATATCTGGTCTTGTAAACGTCAGGTATTGAAGTGAACTAACAACACTTCTGTAAAATGATGGATCTGCAAGAGGTGTACCAACAGTTTTACTCAATTTGGATGAAGCTACACAAGGAGTTTTACAGGATTTGTAGTCAAACATATTGGTTTTCTGAAGAAGATCAGTAATGTATTTTTCCTGACTGAGAAACAAACCAGTAGAAGTATATTGAATCTGTAGACCAAGAAAGAAATGCAATGCTCCTAAATCTTTCATTTCAAACTGCAGGTTAAGTTGGTGCTTCAGAGTGTGAATGAATTGTGGATCATTGCTAGTGAGAATTATATCATCAACATACAAGAGGGGTACAGTGAGAGAATCTTTGACCTTTCTAAGAAACAAAGAAGGATCTGAAGAAGAAGAAACAAAACTATATGTGGCCAATTGTGAAGTAAATTTCTGAAACGAAGCCCTAGGATCCTGCTTCAAACCATAGATAGATTTATGTAACTGACACACATGTGTAGGATACTGTGGCTCAATAAAACCAAGTGGTTGAGACATGTGAATAGACTCAGTGATTGTGCCATGTAAAAAAGCATTTTTAACATCCAATTGATGTAGCTTCTAGTTAAATTGAGTGGCCAAAGCAAGAATGAGTTTAACAGTGGCATGATTCACCACAGGACTAAAGGTTTCAGAAAAATCAACCCCCTCCTCTTGATGAAATCCCTTTGCCACCAACCGAGCTTTATATCTAGAGATAGAACCATCTAAATTCTGTTTTATTCAATAAACCCACTTGCAGCCAATTACATTTTGAGTGGGAGAAGGTGGAACAAGAGACCAAGTGCCCTGATGCTGTAATGCAGTGAACTCTTCTGCCATAGCTTTCCTCCATTCAAGATATTTAGAAGTAGCTGTATAAGAAGTAGGTTCTGAGATAGAAAAGGAAGGTGTAGCTATATATGTTTTGGGTTTGAAGATACCTGACTTGGACCTAGTGTACATAGGATGAACTGATACTGGACTAGAATCTATAGGAGTAGAAGTAGATAAAGGTGGAACGGGAGAAATAGATGAAGATACCTTAGATTGAGGGGTTGTAGAAGAAGAAACGCAAGAGGATACTGGAAAAAACAAAGGATTTAGATATGGAATTGGTGCAGAAGAAGTAAAAGGAGAAGGATCCAAAACAGAATCAGAACTAGTGAATACAGGAGATGGAAACTAATGAGCTGAATCTGGAGAAACAAATGAAGATGTGTAAGACTGAGTTGCATAAGGAAAACACATTCTCATGAAAAACATGTCTAGAAGTATAGATCCTATGATGAAGAGGATCATAGCACAAGTATCCCTTATAGTCAAAAGGATAGCCAATGAAAATACATTGAGTGATTTTGGGTTCAAGCTTATGTTTGTTGTAAGGTTTCAAAAGAAGATAACAAGCACAATCAAACACTTTGAGAGATAAGTA